CTGCGACAGCATTTATCGTAATTAATGTAGGTATATTTTTAATAAGCACTATTTATAATATCAATTCTCTCCAGAGTGGCGGACAGCTGCTCAAATCTCTATAGAAATGTGGTGCTCACTGGTAAGGCTATGACGTAAATGTAAGGCTATGAGGTAACAAAAAATGGATATGAACAGAAATGGACACTGTGATTTAGTCCTGTCCACCCAATCCACCTATTGAATAGCTGTGCAGGCATTCAGGCCGAAAATAGACCTCTCATTTAGCGTGTTGTCGGGCGAAACCTCAATTCGCGTTCATCATTACACCACACAGGATCTGACAAGGCCTTTTTATACAGAGGGACGCGGCAATGCCCTCCAATGACCGATCGGTTGTTCGCGCATGCGCAGAGAGCTGATGACGTCATGCCGCGTGACGCAGTGTTCAGAAAGCCACAAAAAAGGACATGAATGAAGAGCCCGACTGAAAAACGAAAAGGCATGCTCGGCTCGATCGATGGCAAAGACACAAAAAAAAGAACAGCATTGACACTGATGAACAAAGCGAAACCAAAACACCGCCCACAACCACTAGGAAACAAGTAACCATGCTAGTGTGAAGAAGACAAAATAAAAATAGAGAGGACTTCAGGCTAATTATGTCAAAAAGGCGCTAGATATATTCTGGCTAGAGTTATATGTTGAAGTTGGCAGCTAGGGAGGGGAAAATAGCAATGAGTAACTAGACAGATTCGCAACATATTTCTGAAGTCGATATATTTCCTCAAATCCCCTATAAACGACTATCTATAGCCCGAGGCGATTCTTCGTCCAAAGCCTTAACGCAAAGTAGGACAAACGCCGCTAGCACCAGGCAGCGCGGTTCTATTTGGATTGACCTCAGGACGGCACCTGGTCGAAGGTCAAGGATCGACAGAAAAGACCCAATAATGTCGTAGCAACAGTCAGGCGGCATTCCGGCTTTACTGAAGACAGGCGCTGGACTAATGACCACGCCGATACCTATCAATGTCACAGAGATACATACATGATTAAATATTGATCCTAAGGAGCCTAAACGGCTTTATGGTGCTTGGACAGGAACTATGGTGTTATCAGACCATGAGCGAGTTCAGCATGACCAAATGAATTGTGACCTATACACCCGACAATACTGACAAGAGTTGGCATGTTCATTGTTCAAGTAACAAAACTATTAGGAAGACGAATACCTTGATTGCCATAATAAAATCATCGAAGTAGGTGGCCTATACCGTAAAATGGTTAGCGTGCTATTTCACCAAGATATTTTCAATTGATTATCATTATTATCAAGCGACGCCGCACAGTGTGCAGTGCATGCATAATTAGCGATAAAACTTAATTAGGCGTTAAGCGCGCCTAGCCAAGGCAGCTGCGCCGACTATTTGGGCCAACAGCTGCGTTCAACGATAATCCAAAGAGCCAAAGAGCCATAGACGAAACGGTATGCCATGAGAAAATGTGCCGGACCATAGCTTTACCCAAACATAAGGAGAGGTTTAGGTAGTTTACGTGCATCCATTGTTATTGGAAACGAGATAACACCTCATTTTTGAGTGCTGCTTTTGTCCCATTCTCAGTCTCATTTCTTATTTTGTTAACATTTTTGTAAAACTTTACCAAGCGACTAAAACTCGTACCGTTCACTGCAGGCACGGCCTATGAAAGCCCCTGCAGGATCGCTCAGTTACCAGCACTTGTTAAATCGCAGGACTACTTCGCCAGTGCGTCGGCGGCGAACAGTTGTGACTGGGAAATCATCGCGTCTCTCTCTCTCTCTCTCTCTCTCTCTCTCTCTCTCTCTCTCTCTCTCTCTCTCTCTCTCTCTCTCCTCTCTCTCTCTCTCTCTCTCTCTCTCTCTTCCCCTCCCTGCCTACCGCACGCACGCACCACCACACGCCTGTTCGGGACCATTGCTGTCGCTGCCCATCCAGAACGGGCCCATATCGGCCGTTTCCGTCCCCCGAACAGCGTCACAAGCACGCAATGTCGACGAAATCCAGCCCGAAATCGCCGGAGGCCATAACAACAACGCGCAGTGCTGACTAGGCCGTCCCGCCTCAGAAAACAAACTCACAGGTAGAGGGTGAGGCTAAGTAAAACAAGATCAAATAAGAAGGCCGCAAGAGAAAGAAGACGCATTTTCAATGACATAATACGAAGAAAATATATCTATGTTTGCTAAGTGTTGTTGTGTTGTGAAATGTGCTTAGGGTGGCATTTCAATAAGGATTCAAATAAGGATTTGAATCAGGATTCAAAGAAAGGAAAGGCCGTGAGAATTGACTTCACTCACTGGATAGCTTGCTTGCTACAAAAGATCAGTATCTGCTGATTAGATCAGAATAAGTTTTTCTGTGTCTGGCTGATCAGAGTCTGGCCTCTGATTGTCCGACTACATGGATATGAATGCGTCTCCCAAAAATAGTAACTGGTCGCAGCCTGGCCGCTGGCGTGTGAACAGCGAATCATTGTGTGGGACAAACCACCACCGAACGCTCTGTCCAACAATTTAAAAAGACTTTACTCTGTGATTTAGACGTGCTATCGTTCTATTTTGTCTTCATCAAAGATGTCAAACAGATACTCAAGCACGAATTTATGAGCGAGATGTTGATCTCAAAAAGATCAATCACAGAGACTCAATCAATGAAAAGTTCGGCACAGCTGCAGCGACAAAACGGTCGGAGTAGAATGTCCTTTTGGAGCTAAATAACTATTCAAATAAGCTAGTACTTCTGTCTGCGAGGCTGATGCATAGATTCGTCGGGTAGCACCGGCTCCTATCCAACAACGTAACTTCGTTTGAAGTGGAATAACAATATTCTAACAGCAAAATGGAGCATTTGAGCAAAACTGGCGGGCCAACAAACCTATTCCTTATTCACTGAACGCACCGTTGAAATAAATCTGACGAGAAATAAAATCATTTATTAAAAAGTCCAGTCATGGCGCCGCTGACTTCTCAAGACCAGCTAACATAAATTATAAATACTGCTACAGAAGATCAAGTACGTGAGGCAGTCGTGGCTGCTGAACAGATGGGGATGTAGCCAGTTCTGTGCAAATCATGAACGGAAGCGGGGACATCCCTTCCAGCAGATCCGCTGTTATTCGTATCCATCTCACACAGGTCAAAGGTGAGAGGTCAGAGCGGTCGATGTCAACTGCGCAGTAGCGTTATTGCTTCTCCTGAATGGCACTGACGCAGTCACAGGGGAAGCGGAGACCGAACGAGGCTAGATCGCATAGCCACGGACATATACCGTGCTAATCTAACTCCCGCCTCGCTGGAACTCGAAATGATCACCTTTTTCTCAATGGCCCGATGAATAATTTGCTACTCCTCTAAGAGGAAGACACGAACACTCGGAGTTTCTGAATGGATCTTTCCTTCGATCGATGGTGCTATTCTTGAGTAGACATAGCGATAAGATCAAGGATTTCTAACAATGGCAATTGAAGGAAGAGCGGACATCCGCCTCGATCCTGTAATTAAAGCTAGGCGTACCCTCCAAGATACATCAGGTTCCCGGATACAAACCTGCGATAAAATTCCTACAGAAGCAATCATTACAATCCTAGACACATTCCAAGACATTCCTAGAGGCGGAGTTTTTCGATTCACCATCCTGCCAGGTTAAGGGTTGACACTTGACAGCGTGTTATTTCGGTCATTGTAAAGTAGCCAAAGGTTTGATTCATTAACCCTATTCCTGGCGGGCTCCGCCGGGACAAGAAACTGGCGGGGGGGGGGGGGCCGATTCGGCCCCCCCCCCCTGAGATCTCGAGAACGAAGCAAGATAGCGACAAGCGGTAAACGGCATCGGATACGCACGGCCAAGATCTACAATTTTTACTAAGGTCATTTTCAGGTCAGGTCAAAGATGACGTCACAGGGGTCGAAAAAGTCAAAATGGCGGCACTAGATATGGAGAGAGTTTTTCTCGAATAACTTTCGAATTAGTCAAGATAGGAACAAACTAAGGGCATCATCGTGATCCTCTCGTCAATCCGCATCGAATGATATATATGTTGACCTCGAAAGGTCAAGGTCAAAGGTTGACCTCAGGTCACGTGACCTCGAGGTCATCATGTATATCATTCGATGCGTCTTGACGAGCTGAACACAATGAGACCATCCACGCGTCTGTATCTTGTTCCTGTACGGAGTTATTGGCCAAAAACCTTTGGTGACCTTTGATGACGTCACATGACCTCACAGCTGCCCAACAGCAAAACAGACCTCAAGGTAGTGAAGGTTGATCGTATATGAAGTCATGTATGGTATATGGGGCCATTCCGACCCGTTTTAGTGGTAAAAACAGGGAGTTGATTTTTCCCCCATTGACTTATAATGGGGAGGTCGCGAAATTGACCTGACCTTAGGTCACCGATATCAAAATTCTGAGATATACAAATTGCACATACTGGTACCCTAACTAAACCCTGAAGAGAAGAAATTGATCGGTCAAAAACTCTAGCTCTGGCGTGATTGCAAACTTTTCTGAGGTAGCGTCACCAAACCGCCTCTGGTGACCTGACCTGAGGTCAGATCAACTCAAAATTTTCAGACATGTTGCGTAGAAGCCTTTTAGGAAAAGTCAGAAAATTTGAGCTTCCTAGCTCAACGCGTTTGGGAGATATAACCAAAAAACCTCAGGGGGGGGGGGGCTCCTGAGGCCCCCCCCCCCCCGCCAGGAATAGGGTTAATAACCCCTGTTGCCGAGGTCTATGTATGATTGATAGGAAAATGTTTTCATACCTATTGAAAAACAAGCCTGAATTGTCGTCATAAGGTCAGTTTGACCTTAGCTGCCAGGTATTGAGACATCAGTAAGTGATGGCTTATGACTAACAGATCAGATGTCTTTGTAGTACGCCTGTCATATTGTCCCACTGTCCCTAGAGCCCCTAACGTCCCACCATCCCCAAGTATCCCATCTCGAACCATCACCACCCCCATCGTGACCCACCTCATCAGCTGCCAGCTCGGGCGCCGCCTGCCTCCGTCCTCCAGCGACGGTGACGGCGGCAGCGGCTGCCGCCCAGCGGCTCTGCGCCTTGAACCCGCCGCCGTGGCCCGCCGCAGGTCCGTCGCGCTCGTCAAAGGCCGTCTCCTCCGCACTCTGAGCCTCAACGGTGGCCGAGGGCGGGTAGCTGCGAGAGGAGGTCCGCTGCTGGGAGCCGCGCGCCAACCGGCCCCGCGCCACCAGCTGAGGGTCGGGAGGGGGGGGGGGGGTCAGTATCAGAAGAGAGAGCGGACAGCATTATAGAGATGGTACGGTCAACTTTAGGGGAGGGTAAGTGTCAGAGGGGGTCAATTTCAGAGAGCGTCTATTTCAGAGGAGAGAGGGTCAGTATCATACGGAAAGTCTGACACAGTGACAAGGAGCAGTATTTAAGACCAAGAGGTGACGAAAGGAAGAGATAAATGAGGTCAATCTTAGATAGATCAGCTTCATAAGGGTGGGAGTAATCAGTAGGGACGCTATTCAAACGCAGAAGGCAAGAAAAAAGAAAGCTTTAAAATTTACGCTCATGAATATGACTTCAGTAGGCATAGAACTCATAGAAGACTTCGAAACGTTACCGAGCAGAGGTAAATGCTAGTTTTGGTAGTTAAGTAGACATCGCTAACTACCCCGTTCGCTCACAATATAAAATATTAAAACTAAATCGATGACTCGCCATTGACATGAAGTGAAGTGCATATAAAACGGTAAGCATGAAATAAAACAGAGTTTTCAAATGACACAGCTCGCAACTTCAACTGGCGTTAGGCATCAATTAGCAACAGCAGAAGTGGCAACTCGCGACTATAATAGCATGCATGACAGCGCGAACAATATAAGAAAGTCACGCAAGTGCTTGAATCTTTATATGTGAGGTCAGTGTCACCTTACCAACAAATTTACACTTTTAGCTTCCGTACATGTTAATTTGAGCCAGAATTTGCATTATGTTCAAGCATGTAATTCCCCCTCCACTATCATTCACGAGCCCCGTCCCCAACGTACGTTATTCCTGGATTCGTTCGGTGTCGGAGCCGGCTGGACTTCACCGCTGAACCGCTGGCGAATCAGCTGCGCAGACAGCAACGTTAGCAGGCCATGCGACCAATCACAGGCGGCGGACAGCGCTAGCGCGAGCAGCATCAGCAGGCGTCGAACAGGCACAAACACGGACGGGCTCGGCTCAAGGGTGTGGGCGGAGTGGGCACGCATAACGCTGGCTGAAGCGTTTGGCTTGACATGCTGGTTATACACACTTGGGCATCGGGTAGGGACGAATAACAATCACCAACAAATGACATGTATATTGTACAACTGTACAGCTAGAGCTACACATATTAACGTGTACAAAACAAACATTACGGGGACGACACAAAACAGAAAGTAATTACTCATAAGTTAAAACTTCGGGGAAATGCTAGAGCTACACGAAACACGCCAGGCGGATTGAAATATAGCCATGCAATACTGAATGCATACTTGAGCCGTGTTCCGAAGTGTCCTACTTTTCCATCGCTCCACCAAAACAAGGTTATGGTTGAATGTCGAAGCTGTGACTGCAGTTTAAAACAGAAACGCGGAAGTCCTCCTAAAGTGCGACATTTACCATTCACGAGGTCACCAAAGGTCGCATGACAAACCAAACAATAGTGTGTGTCTAATTATTAAATACTCTGTATCGGTCTCTTCTGTAATATCTATCCAACAACCACCGGCACAAACAAACTTTCCGATTGTGCCTGAATTCATCTTTACCTCTCGATTACATAAAAATGATCTGGCTTGCCACACACAAACCACTGGCACAATTTTCTTCAAACCCATCGACGCATTAAAAATCGCACAAATGCGTAGCAATGCCACTACCTCTTAGCATTTACACCTACATCAATCACACCCCATTCAGCGTCGAGCCCTTCTTTCCTCCGCCCCGCCCCGGGCCGGGTCGGGCGGCGCCGGTGTACCGCCCAGCAGCATTGTTCGATGGTTCACCGACCGGCGCGACAGAGCGACCTTGCACCCATCGACCGGCCCTACCAGCCGCTCTGACATTGAATTGTGTCGGTCGTAACGGGCGCGACTCGTGTATAGAAGGCACGACACGGGCCGCGTAGACTGTACAGCACGGAGGACACGGGCCGTGTGAACTTACAGCCCGTGCTACCGCTTTACACACGGGCTGTGTCTAGCAGAGAGGAAAGGCCCGTGCACAGCATAGAGGACAGGGGGGCGTGCACAGTTTGTGTTCAACAAGGGAGTTACGAGAGACCCTTGCACACGGATGAGATCACGGATCGTGCGCATCCTGCGCTACTCTTTTATAACCTCTCTTGACGTTCTACCTTGCCCAACCAATCGATGACACCAGCAATACCATAGTGCGACTGATCTTTAACGAGTCCAAATCCCAATAACGATGCCAGTCTGGCGCTGAACAATGACTTCTGGCTTCCTAGCAAAAGAAATTATTGCGTCAAGCACAAAAACATCCCCCTGGGGTATAGCCCGAGCCAGACTTCCCCAGGGAAGAGGCAAGGCTTCGAGCGATATTGCCTTTTCTGGGCTCATTCGGGCACATCGGAGCCTTGTTTCGTCCGACGAACTCATTGTTAAACTGTTTTGCAAACGTCCTGAAGAGACTCCCCGGGGCCAGACCAAGATTGTGTTTACATGTTTGCCGACTGGTTCTCCGCTGAAGAGGGCGATTGAAGTTTAGAAACCAGATCGACGGAGGGAATCGACTTTAATCATCTCTCTCTTGTTTCCTGCCGCATCGCTAGCAGCTTCAGTTTAGATGATTTTGATGTGCTGGCAAATGGTTTGTACATAAGTACTTTCTTGGTTTTCCCAATAAAATATGAAACAGTAACATAATTGAGGCTAACGCCGACTGAGCGTTCAGTTGTGAGGCTATTTCCATTTGCAGTACGCGGTTCTCGGTATTTGTGCACCTTTCCGGCCAATAACATACACCGATCTTTTCGACCACATACAGTCATTTATGAGAAGGCAAGCGCAAAAAGCGTAAAGCAATATTCACATAACGTTTCTTCAAACAAGACAAAAATGTACTAAATTAACTTAACCTTGGCATCAGTGCTAAAGTGCACGTTAATTTCACCTTTGAAATTAATTCATTGCTTAGAAAAAATAACACACAATGCAGAAAAGATCCGCTTATATTAAATTCCTCTACGTTTTGAGCATCCTTGCTATGCTATATTTTCATTGAATCATTTACCTTTGCTATTAAAGTGGGTCTTTTGAATACTCCTTACTTTGATCTACAAAATGACGAGCAAAACAACAGGAGAGCAGACCTGTCGTCGTGCCTGTCGGTCACGACGACTTTGACGAGGTAAGAGACGACACATCATATGCTAAGCGCAGAGTGTTTCGTACCCATTTTACCAAACAGAAAAGAAAATGATGTGATAGGCCCACAAATCAATTGGGGTTACACAAACTCTTGATCACTCATTTTGACCAGCCAATTTAATAAAAATCGTTAACTGCAATTATTGGTGTCAGAAGCGGCACATAAATCTAATATTTGCATATTTTACAAGTCCAACACTCATCAGCCGTTTGCTGATCAAAGCATTAGCACTAGACCAAGGGATATGAATTTTATGCAAGCACACAGGAACACACACAACTAACAAAATATACACAAACCAAACGATTAAATACAAAAACAATAACATACAAAACGACACCATGCCATGCTGCTTGGGAGGTTCGGCTACCATACAGACTTTGGCGAATGCGAGGGGCGGCGAGGGGACCCAGTCGCCGACTTACCGTCGCCACATAGCCGAGGCCCTGGAGTGTCATCTTTCCCACGTTATCCTTATGCCGGCGGCGGTGCAGCGTGCCGCCCATGGAATCGGTGACGTCAGCGCCGTAGCCCGCCGGCAGAGACATCTGTCGGCCGATGGGCGAATGAACCGGGTCAGCTGTCTGAAATGGCGCCGCGCGACCGGTCAGCGCAGGGGCGGACTCAGGGAGGGAAACCGGGGGAGCGGCCCGTGCGGACAAAACTACCAGAAAGGGGTGGCCGTAGGGTGGGGACGTGCGGACAGAAAAATCAGGGTAGAGGCGTGCGATGGGGCGGCAAGAGAAAACCACGAGCAGACAGGGAAACGAAATGACTATGCAAGCTACTAGCAAAAATAAACACACCCACAAGACAAATGAAAGAAAATATACAGCAAGCCCATGCGTAGAACGACAAAATTAAACAAACTTGGTGTAAAAACAAACGGGAAATACAGCTAACAGCTATACTACGCAAAAAAAAATATATCAAGCAACCCAATGAAAACCCACGGTGACATAAGGGCACACGTTAGCCGCACCAAATAAAACATAAACAAAATAACACCGTAAGACACACCAAAGCGTGCACAGATCCCATCCATCCCGAGTCAGGATAACCTGTCACAGTCAGATAGAATCCGGCCCGGTCAGGAGTTGATCCGGATTTAGCCAGGAGTTGGTCCGGATTTAGCCAGGATTTGGTCAGGATGAGCTTGGATTTTCCTAGTCGTGCGTTGTGTCTGGGCCAGGGCCGGTGAGTGTCAGGCAATTGTTCAGGCCTAACAAAGCATTCAGGTTACAACTAGGCCCAGGTTCACTTAGGAGTCAGTTCAGCGTCACATTACTAGACCAGTGAGTCTCAGAGGCAGGCTTATGTGGAAAGTAACCACCGGCCAGGATCAGACCGCGGGCATGTGACGGTCAATTCAGGGTCAGGGTAAGATTGGACCAGCGTCAATTCTACGCGTACAGGTCAGGTACGGCCAGTTTACAGTCAGGTCAGACTCAAAAGCCAGGTCATGTCGCGGTCATTTCAGGACCCTGGACGCGGTCAGGTCAGGTCAGCCTCAGGACAGGACCCAGGTCACACTCAGGTCACCACTAACTGACCTGGGGGTGGTCTGAATCGTCTTTGAGCCGCCCGTACGCCTTGGCCGCCAGCCTACGCCGCCGGTCCAGCCACCGACACTGGTTCTCATCGTCACACTCGTCGTCCAGACCGAAAAACTGCTTCGTGCCGCGCTTCATGTAGCTGCGGAAGGAGATAAACATGCAGTCAGGCTTCGTGCCGCACTCAAACAGCTGGGGACGGACATATATGTGTATGCAGTCAGGCTTTGCACACTGTGAGCTTCAAGTAGCTGGGACAAACAGAGAGATGCGGTGAGGCATCACAGCACGCTTCGGTGTTAAAGGTTGGGAGTTTGCAATTGGAGATAAGCACAGTCAGGAATTGTTCCAATGGGTGCCAGTGCTGCACGTTTGCAGCTGAAAACGGTGAGTGGTAAAGGAAAACCAAGAGTGGAATCGGATCAAGTCCTTCGCATATTCTTAACAAGTGTGTCGTCAGCGTGAAGCTAAATTGCTATCACAAACCGTGTTTGCACCAAACGTACTGAAAAAGCTTGATACTATTCGCCGTTCTACATTGTCTGAACGGAAACCACGTAGAACCCCCTCCAGCTTCCGCACACCCACTGTGCGCCTGAAGCTTTCAGTTTCGGCCTGGGTCACCCAGCAAAGGTTAGGGCAGTAAACATAACTTATCCGAGTCAAGTAAGCTTGCACTTGAAGGCAGCGTCCGCCACTGCTGACCCCACCAAGTACTTTGGCAAGTTCACTGCCTGTCGGCAACCAACAATCTCGATATAGCGCCTCGTTCAGTAGCTGAGGTCAGGGGATAAAGGTTACGAATAGGTCAAACGAGGCACCATCAAGTGCGCTCCAAATGCGCCCCCGAGACACACAGATGACGTCACTAGAGCGCTCGATGACGTCAGCAGACGGCCAGGAACGTGCTCAGGTGAGAGAACTGGTGGATCTGTCTACTAAATTATGCCTTCAGGCTAACATTTTCCAGACGGGGCATACGCTAATGCGCCCAGCAACAGGTCAGATTTAGTGAGAAAAGAGGTACTTAGCTTCGAAACGACAAGTTCGTGGAATGTTTCGAGTTCCGTTCTCAGAAGATGGTCAAACTTGGGACTGGAGCTCACAATGAATTATCAGTCACGGTCAGATTCAAGTCAAGAGTCACAAATATCTCGTTATCATGTAGCCCTTGCATCTAAACCCCATCCTCATGACTAGTTCCGACCCTGTAATGACGTAACCCGCAGTCAGTCGAGCCCCGCTCTGGAGCTTTTCCTGAGCACAGCCCGTCGTGTGCTCACGCTAACGGCTCATCGGCAGTGAGCCTGGTAAACAGGGAGTAATTGGGGAGGCAGCGACCGAGCGAGCGGTCATGTGCGGACGGCACGCGCCAGTCATCACAGCTCGGTGGGGGGGGGGGGGCGGGGGGGAGGTGGGGGGGGAGTAAGAATAGTGGAAGGTGGACTACCGGTGGATGGTGGATGGTAGATGGTGGATGGTGGATGGTGGATGGTGGATGGTGGATGGTGGATGGTGGATGGTAGATGGATAGTGGGTTGCAACTTCCGGATGCAAATAGTGGGTTGACAGTGTATGCGGAAGATGTAAATGGAAAGTTAGAAGGTACACGATGAATGAACACTGGTGGGATGGGGGATAACAGGAAGAAGATGACGATTTGTGGCGATGGATATGAGGATGGCTGAGGTCTGATGCCAGGAGACAGTGGTGATGGTTTATGGTGTCAGTGCACACTGGTCACTAGTCAGAAGTCCGTGGTCGGTGGTCGCTTGGTCTGTGGTCGGTGATCCATTGGTGGGTTGGGAAAAGGTCAATTCAAAACAGAATCTCCACACCACCTGGTAACAGGTCATCCATGGCACCAAGCTTATTACTCGTTAATTGTGTCATAACATGAACTTTAACCTGAACGAGGTCACGCAGCCTAATATGTCACCGAGCGTTAATCGTCTATGGAATGATATGCCAAATATTTACAGCGACAAGGGGTATAGATAACAGGCTTAACGCGATGGCAATTATCGTTCGAAATAGATACAATGTCAGCGGGGTAAAAGGCCAGAAACCCGACACAACAGATGCGGCTTAAATGTTGGCAAAAACACTGTATAGGCTCGGGTCATTACATCATTGTTATTACGTAACGTGGGTCATTTACTGGTATTATAGACGAAAATATTATAAACGAATCGCATCAAACACCATCCAGTATTACACCAGAAAAAGAGATTGACCTTTGGCACTCGACGACTTTGACACCATAACAGTGAGCAAATTAACCAAACTAAAACAAAATCTCGGGAGCCCGAAATAGACCCAGCCGCCCACAGTCGTCGGCTCAGAGTGTACCATTTAGCAGGAGGGTGACAATATCGCTAACAGACCAGGAGACCGGCGGAGAGTGGACCATCAGACCAGCCAGCGGACCAGCGGACCATCGGACTAGCGAGCGGGACGGCGGACCAGCGGGCTAGTGGGCAGTTCCAGCGTGTCAAAATCGGCGGATGGAATCAGCGTTAGAGGTGGGGCGGTCATCACTGCCACTGCGACCACTGTAATTACCGACATGGGGATTGCGTGATGGGCGTCATCGGCCCAGCCATAAGGGTTCGATCCCCAGGCAAGACACGTGGCTTCGTCGCTTCATGGCCGTTTGGAACGGCGCGAAAGTTGCGGTTAGCACCAAGTCCACCGGATATGGTGCTTACCGAATATCGTCAAGCCTTACTCCTTTTACTTTGCGTCAGAGCCAAACCAATGTTGCGCTGCAAAGGAAGATTTGGAAGTAGAGTCAGCTTATCAATCCGAGGTGACAAGCAGGTGGCGGCTTTGATTATGGGCTACAATGTCTCAGAATGATAGCAATCTACATAACCACGATTAACTCAAGCAGCACTTCCACCGCCGCTAAGTTCGTCTCAAACCAAACTAATAGCAATCCAATCCGAGCGGATATTACCACCATCTGCGAGTCCGTCTCACACATCACTCTAAACGTCATCGTCCCGGAGACAGCTGACGTCAAGACGTCATGGCGTCTCCTCTACATCACCTTACGTCCACACCGATAACAGCGAGTCCCGGGCCGTATCCTGCATCACTCCCCATTATAAAGAATTTAAGACCACCAGTCGGCATTATGACACCCAGCCATCCTCGCCCAAACACACCATTCCCCAGTTCCGAGAAAGGAGCTGGGATAGCCCCCACACTACCCAGAATCGCCTCAGGTCTTGTTTTCCCTCTCCATCAGTCGAGGAAGCCAGAGCTGTCAGTGTGTGAAGTGGATGAGAAGGTACGCTAGTTTCATGAAGACCGTTCAACAATCTATAAACGCCCAACACTCAGGATGACAATACGGGGGAAGGGGTGGAAAGAAGAAACAGAGGGGGTTCAGGGAGGGATGAAGGGAGAACGACTAAGGAGAGAGAAAGATGAGGAAAGGTATAATGCTGCGCGTATGGCACTATTCATGATTTCAAATGAAAAGGGTGAGGAAAATGCTTCAAAAATGACGAACTATTCCAACGGGACAACTGCCTTTTACATATACAGGGATGTTCACGAAAAACTGACACATTTTAAAACGACTTTGTGATCATGTGAGAGCTCACGGAGACTTGATTTGCATGCCATTCGAAAGCCTGTCGAAAAAAGTTTTGTATCTGCATAGCTCCTTTAGGTAGCATCACATGAGCTTTCAAATAAATAAGAAAGCGTTAAAATGGGGAAATTTGACTTGGCGACAAAACTTAGCGGAAAAACAATGAAGCTCTCGCGGCTGCCATCTGCCACCACGACTGAACCAGTCCACGAATTCGTCTAAAATTTGGCATATTAATATTTCGATGGATTATGTTTTATACTATTGGCATATTGTGGGCAAATTCCTAAGGAATGCCAAAATTGGCAGGCTTGGAAGTGTTGATGTCAGAAACCATGGCCGCATGCTGGCAGTCACTGTAGAGTGGTACCGTGCCATCTTTTAACGGCTTCTGTTAGCTACTGTAGCGGAAATGGGTCGACGTCTACACCATTTGGTGGTTCTGGCACGCCAGGGCCACCCCACGTACAGTAACCGCGATCATCGGTCTCACACGAGAACAGGGGGGAGGGGCATTGCCTCGTGCATCCCCTCTCACTCATAGCCGGCCATTTCGTTCTACCTCAACACCGTGGACTATTCCTGTGGGGTCACGTGAGTGACATGATCTGTAGCAGCGGCCCAAAGGACATCAAAGCTCCCGACGAGTGCAGTGAGAGGTGTTGCAATTCTCCAGGCACGTGCCCAAAAACGGGGGATAATTTCCTGTTTCGGGCTGAGTCGTGCACTGCTCCAAAAACTCGTCATCTGCAAAATGCGCTGTAACTTCTTAAAAACGAAAATGACATGATCCCAAAATATGCCAATAAAAACTTAGAAGTCCACTCTATTTGCCCATAGCATGATCACCTTGCTGAGGGCAAGTGTTTTCTCGTAATTCGGAAATAAAATGCGTCAGTTTTTCGTGAACATCCCTGTACTTTTGCTTTTGCAGAATAATTCCACTGAACCCGAGTCCGAACAACTATCGGTGACCAACATCTCGACTGAGCCTGAGACGAACTGCAAACTTCGCTATTGACTTATTGAACGAAACAGGGTGCGATTGCAACAGCGTCCCATCGACCTCCGTCCAGCCGGATTCCCGTGATGACAGATCTACCTTACCCCTCAGGAACCTTCATGAGCACGGACGTCACTTCTTCATTTTTATTAGTGGACCTCTATTGGTTGATATTGGGATGTCAAAGTCATTCTTACCATGAAACATGATGGGATTTATGTTAAATTAAAAAAAAAATATTGGTAGGGCTCTAGCCCTATACCAGATCTTTATAACACAATACCCATGTTCAAGCACCCAGAAATCCGGCACAGACTCGCACCGGATATAAGGCCGCACCGACCCGTGCACAGGCGCCGGCGTTTTCTGCCCCCCCCCCCCCCCCGCGTTGACCTAGATCAGGTTTCGGTGTCATTAATACGCCTCCGGTGCCGGTAGCGGGCACAGTGCAGCTCTGTGGGCGTAGGAACCGCCATACATCGTCCGCGGCGCCGGCAACACTGCGAGTGACGTCAGTGCGGAAAGCGGGCGA